AAAATCCGTAGATAATTCAGTGTTTAAGTATTGGCCTAGAAATAATAGTATGAAAAACCTCAGTCAGCATTCGACTTAATGATAGATCGTATTTGCTGACAAGGTCATTGTATCGACCATAGAACTTTGCGAAATGATGACTTTAAAAGAGACGGTTGATATCCTGTTTTCATCAACTTGTTTGTCAATAGCTTGCCTTGTTTTAAAAATTGTTCTTGGAGCATGCTCTTGCATATCGAATTAGCTGGGAGATATAAACCCCATATGCAGGTGATAAGGATATATTGATACATAAGTAAGGGAAGTTGACGATGGTAAAATATCCAAATATGAAACAGATGTGTGAGTCAGACTCTGTGGTTTCTTTTATTTCAAGTTCACAATGATATATCGAGTCGACATAAGAATTTAAGCACCTATTGTTAATTGATTATATGTTGTCGATATATCTAAATGTCGAGTTGAAGGGCACAGCAAATGTCTTCTTTTTTCTTCTTCTCATGCATAAGTTTTTGAATAAATTCTGCTTCATATGAATGCATAAATTGGTTTGTTAATAATTGGTATTTTGGCATTGGTATAATTGGCGCAATTGGTACCCATGAAAATTAATTCCGACAGATTGGTGGAAGACCTGATCTCCAAAAACTACACAGATACTGAAATAAATATAACAACTGTAATACGTGCATTTTTAGACCTTTTTTTCGGATTTCCTAAAATTAGCTTAAGAATTTTTCTTCTACACTTTTGAGAAAAAAAACCTAACCAGTCTTTGAACTAAGGTGATTAAACTTCAGAAATCACCAAATTAAGATAATCCTAGACATTCTGGGACTTTAATTATAATCCTAATTCAACAGACTCAACATACTATCTCAGAGTAACTAGATACTATATATCTAGATATATATGAAGTTATTCCTACATTATTATTCTTTACTTTAAAGTCTCTAGCAAACATAATTTACTGAACAAATATTCCAAACCATTATAAGACTTATGTTTCTACTTTTCTATCACGTTGTTGTTTGGTCTTCGATATACAAATGTATATTTTTATTTAAATTAAACGACCTCTAATTCTGGAATTTTGATTTAAACAACAAAAAATAAATTCTTTCATTATTTTTATGCGTAAGAAAACAACTGGAACCATAAAAGAATACATAACCCGCATAATCAGGTTACAGATTTTTTTCTGCAAAGGTTACAACCGTTTATTTCGCATTAATAAACAAAGAAGGACACTTTATTATTCAAATTTATGTATGTAGTAAAAGTAATGATATAAAGGAGATTTACATACATAAAATGTTGTGTTATTGATCTTACGTCAAGGTAAATCTAGATCTGTCGTATCATATTGGTGGCTTAAAAACGCAATGAATTGTTTAAGGATGACGTTTATCTAGATGACAAAAAAATTCCACCAACGGTAAATAAAATTACCACCTATCGCACATTGTTGACCTATGATAGTGGTACTATTCCTTTTTTAATTTTCAAATATATAGGTCAATGATCTACATTTCATCTAGTGGCCTCTCAGTGTTTCTAGAAAATAATTAGGAATTTTTTTTTTTTAAATACTGCACTATGACCAAGATTTTAGGACGTACATGTATTAAACCTCTCTTACAACTCTTGATAATGAAATATATTGAAAATAAGTATAGTCTAGTGCTCTACAATGAAACAGACAATTAAGATTTGGGCTATACACATGTTAAAATATTCATATCCGAATTTCCTCTGTTAATTTCCAAATTCTACCCATTTTTAATCTTATATTTAAAAAAGGTGAATTATGAAAACTCTAAATATTTATAGTTCCATTTCACTTGTATTGTCTTAATTCAGCTGGTATGAAAATGATATTAGGTAAATAATCAAAGTTTTGAATAAACTGCGTGGAATGGAATATATGGAGATAAAGAACAGTATTCAAGCTGGAAAGTCCATTAAACATTACAAAATAGGTGCAGAGCAAACACGGATCTCAAAACATCAGAGGTGGGATCAGGTGTCATAGAGGAGTGAGCATCCCCTTCCGACCGGTCACACCCGCCGTGTGCTCCTTGTCATGATCGGGAAAGAACGGAAAAATCCGTCGACAATTCAGTGTGTAAATAATGGCCTAACAATTAGTATAAAAAAAAGTCAGTCAGCATTTGACTCAATGATAAATTGTATTTGCTGAAAAGGTCATTGTATCGACCATAGAACTTACGAAATGACGACTTTAAACGAGACTGCTGATAGTCTTGTTTCATCAACTTGTTTGTCAATATTTTACCTCGTTTTAGAAATTGTACATTGCGTATCGAATCAACTGAGAGATATAAACCCCGTATGCAGATGATGAAGGTATATTACTGCATAAGTAAGGGAAGTTGACGATTGAAAAGTTAAAGTCATCACGTTTATCATAAAGCTTGGTTGTTAGATTACCATTAAGGTCTTTTTCAAGTAAAACATCCAAATATGAAACAGATGCATATGTGTCAGACTCTGTAGTATCTTTTATCTCAAGCTCACCGGGATATATCGTATCGACATAAGAATGGAAATAACCATTCTTAATTGACAATACGTCGTCGATATATCTAAATTTCGAGTTGAAGGCCACAGCAAGTGTTTTCTTCTTTTCACGTATAAGACTTTGGACAAATTCTGCTTCATATGAATACAAAAAGGTCTGCTAATAACGGGGCGCAATTGGTACCCATGGGAATTCCAATAGATTGTTGGAAGACCTGGTCTCCAAAAACCACATGGATAATGTCAATCAGAAACTCAAGCATCTTTTTAATGTCAACTTCAAAGTACTTGTGTGTACAATCAGAATGTATTTTAAAAAAATAATTTTGCAAATGACCAATGACAAGGTAAGTGAATTTACGAGTTCCATTTTTATTAAAAAAGCAGCTGTCAATGATATAAAAAAGCCTGGATTTTAATTTATCGTGGGGAATGGTTGTGTATAAAGATGAAAAGTCGTAAGTTTTTAAGCTGTTGATTTTGGTTAAATCTTGTGATTTCAAATTTTCCAAAAGTTCCTTGGAATTTTTAAAGTATCCACATCTGATTTACACCACTTCTCAAATATATTGTTGCACGGTACTCATGAAGTTTTCCCTTCACTACTGTTAATATCTTAGTGAGGAGTAAAGAAAGAGGCTTGGTTGAACATTTACTGGAACCCGCTATGTATCTTTGTTTGTAAGGATTTTTATGAAGTTTCGGAATGCAATATAAAAATGGTAATTCAAATTCATTTTGGTTGTTTGGAATATTAAAAATATTCAAAACTGACATATGATTTTGAAGAATTTCTTCCTTAGAAAGAGAACTATGAGTATAAGTTGGATTACCACTTGTAGAATTAAATCAAAGTTCCTCTAAAATACATTTGATATAATGAGTCCTACAAACAAAGACAATGTTGTTACCTGCTTTGTCAGCAGGGACCAGTACGAACTGATCATGTAATCTATTTAATTTTTTTTCACTTCTGAATTATTGAATACAGAAGGATAGATGGTTCTCATATTGCCCCTCAATCTTTTAATGCGCAATTTTAACATACATCTGATACATTTCATCCATTCTCACAAAGTGTCAAGGTCTTCCTTTTCATGTCTGGCCCATCGCCTAGCGTAATCCTCTACAGAATCCATAATATTTATGAAATTCCGACGCCAGTTGAAGGATCGGGGTTCCCTATATTTAAGACCTTTTAAAATTAGTGATCTATGGCCCTCATTATTAACTATATTTACGTCACCAGTAATAACGTGTCCAGCAGGACTATAGTTATAGGATGAAGAAGAACATGAACACGATGGAGGAGGATGTTTCAGATATTCGATATCCAGGCACTGTAAAGTTTTCTTGTAATTAAAAAGTTTGGAAGCAATTGTCGATGTATATTTGTAGGAAATACAAGGTGTAGTCTTTAACTTGAAATATGGTGGAATACAAGACTGGACCCTTTTGTGATTAAGAATATTACTTATATTAACCGCGTCAATTCCTTTGTTGGCAAATTGAAGTTTAAGGAAAAAACGGACTGTTTTAGCTGCTTCTTCTTCGGTAAAACGTGGCTTTTGTTCATACATGTATTGCAGATTTTTTTCTTTGCATGATTTCCGATTATCTGAAGTAATACATAATCTTAAACAAGCATTATATTTGCAAAACGATATTGAAAAAAATCTAAGAAAAATAAACTTTGACTTAACATCAATAGAAAAAAAATGTATAAAAAAAATGGGGGAAAATGGTCCGAATTTCCTCTGTACTACCATAAAATTTAATATAGCGTCCTTGGAGGACGGTATACAAGGTTGACGTATTTTACAGTCTTCGGGCTGTGCACTTCCTTTCTTCTGTGATTGATTGAAAATGCATGATGTGAAAATTTTCAATTATTTCACTGGCTGAAATGATGTTCAAAGCAAGGGAGATAATTTTCTGGTGATGCAATTTTCGTACAACTTAACAATTTTTGCAAGATTTTCAATCTTTAAATAACCGAAAAAACGAACAAGAAATGTAATAAGTGAAAATGACACTTTACCTTTTTTAAAGCATTATAGCATTTATAGTATTAAAAAGTTTTTCTATATTTTCATGGTTTTCTGGCCCCGGGATCATGAAACATCTTAAGCTTTAGTCAAAATCTTTATGTTGTACTAAAATGTTGTAGAAGTCAAGCCGACCAAAATTAAAATATTTTTCAATGTTGCTTTACGAATGTGTTGCTATCTGAAAAAATAGAGATTAATTCAATAATAAATAAAAAAAAAAAGTTTACGGCTACTTAAAATTGACTTAAGTCTAGGTTTGTTTCATAATGCTTGGGCCTGGTGAATTTTCATAAATAAATTGTCTTGTTAGAGCCAATACCTTGATAAGCATTTGATTTCAAGTTCTGTCCAGTGTTTTGCAAAATTGTTGACAAACAAATTGGGACATATTTCTCTGTCAAATACCTTTACAGACTTCAGCTGTTTATCTTAGGAAAAAGATGTCTTATTAATTCTTCATCCTTAAAACATCCTCCTTTCTTGGAATAACTATAGACTTTAATATTTAAAGTCACCACAAAAACTATACAGGATATACCTTTTATTTGCGAAATTAAAATAACATCATTCAAAAACAACACAAAAAAATGAGAACGGTGTGACTGGATTTGTACTGGGCAGGTTATGTAAAGCTAGCAAATAGTGTCTCTTAATAATACGTCTTCACTGCTGTAAAACAAAAGAAAACGCATAACTAAAACATCGATACAAAAAAATATATTTCTAGGAACTTTTACAAGATACCCAATGCAACATTAATTATAATTTTTGAAACTAGGCTTTAAATTTTGATTTAAAAGTAAAGGAACTTGCAAAACGTTTTATTGAACTTACATTTTCCAAATCCACCACCAAATCCGCCTCCATATCCTCCGTATCCGCCTCCGTATCCTCCTCCGTATCCGCCTCCGTATCCTCCTCCGTATCCTCCTCCGTATCCACCTCCGTATCCGCCTCCGTATCCACCTCCGTATCCGCCTCCGTATCCACCGCCGTATCCGCCTCCGTATCCGCCTCCGTAACCACCTCCATAACCTCCCTTTCCTCCGAATCCACCACCATAGCCTCCGTATCCGCCGCCATATCCACCTCCGTAACCTCCTTTTCCTCCAAATCCACCCCCGTAGCCTCCGTAGCCTCCTCCGTAACCTCCCTTTCCTCCAAATCCACCTCCGTAGCCTCCTCCGTAACCTCCTCTTCCTCCGTATCCTCCTCCGTAACCTCCTCTTCCTCCGTATCCACCTCCGTATCCACCACCGTATCCTCCGTATCCGCCTCCGTATCCTCCTCCGTAACCTCCTCTTCCTCCGTATCCACCTCCGTATCCACCACCGTATCCTCCATATCCACCACCGTATCCTCCTTTTCCTCCTACGACGATAATTTTTCCGCCTCCGTATCCACCTTTTCCACCTCCTCCGTATCCACCTCCTCCGTATCCACCTCCTCCGTATCCACCTCTGCCGCCGCCTCTCTTGCCACCGTAGTAGCCATAAGCGAATGTGCAGCAAACAAGCGAAAGAAGGATTAACAAACGCATGATGGCAATCTATCTGGAAATAAAATATGACGATGATATTGGAGGTTTCTACTTCATATAGAAGTTTCAGATGTACAGAAACAAACATTGTTAAATAAAATAGAACATTTATCTTTAAAACATTGTAAGTTTTGTATAGTTTTTTCACAGATCAAATTATTTATATTATCATAAAGCAAATTTTTCATTCAATTTTTTATCTGAAGTTTGGTAGGTCAATACATGAAGTCTTTAAATGATTTAGCTCTGAATTAAATTGCATTATGACATATTTAATACTTTAAACAATATAATCTTGACAATTGTGCAGAATAATTCACAAGCAAGAAAACTGGGGGGAAAATAATAACCAAAACAAAAAAAACCAAACAAACAAAACAAAACAAAACAAAAAAAAAAAAAACAAGAAAGAAAGAAAATTGAAGACGATTATTTTCCTATATGAAGTTAAACTTGGTAAAAAGGGTAATTTTATTGACTTCTTAAGCAGAAATTGGTTCTTACCATCACCCTTCCCTAGGTTAATATACATGTATAAAAAAAAACAAATCTTATGCATGGTCACTAAAGAATAACAGGATAAGAATGAACTTTTGTTAAAGAAACAAAAGGGAAAATGGAAGATTGATTGTATATCTCTATAAATTTGGTTTCCTCTTTATTTATTTACTTTTTCAAACAATGAATTTCTGTACCATGAAACTTTTTTTCGAAGTGAAATTTGGCGAAATTTGATGTCAAATGGCACTATCAATGATTTGCAAGACCTAAATTTAAGGTTTTCAAAAGATGATATCAATAGTAATCTCTTAAGGTAATGAGACTATTTCTGCAATGAGTAAGTCCTTAATTTTATGTTTTATTTTCTGCGTTTTAAAGTTTAAGCTATTTGCAACCAATCTTACAAAAAGTAAAACCAACGATATCAGATCTAATATTATTATACACAGATCAGCGATGTAAATAGCATCACAAAAAATGTATAGCAAAGACAGCATAGCTATCAATGGAGTAAAGGTAATAATAGATAGAGGTCACAACATTGTAAACTGGTAAACAATAAAATTATTTCTTAAAAAAAATGAACAGTTTAGCTGAAACCAAATACTCAGAGTCTTAATGAAATAAGATTACCTGTCTTAGGGGGACCAAAGAATGCTATGAGGGCCCCTGGAACTGTCCTGTTCTTTTATATACTGCAGACTGACCAATTTATGTCCCATGACTCACAAAGCCTGCCACTCAGAAATTGTCGTGTGGCAAAAAGACCTGAACTGTGCACAATATACACATAAGATGATTAAATGCAAAAATTCTGCTTTTTCATGTCTGCAAAGTTTCACGTGTCATTACAGGCTCACTTCTTAGTGAACCTTAGTAGAGTAGATGATAAATCTTAGAATAGTATAGAAAAATCCAAGCCAAAACCTGTCAATTCGATAAATATTATCATTGTATCTTGCTCATTTGATGTTAAAAAATTACACAAGAAAATAATTATGAACAATTAAAACAAATAGGTCTTAAAAAAAAAAAAAGAATTCCGACCCCCACTCCCCCCAAACACTTAGTTTTCTCATATATAAGCTATAACAGCAGGTATTTGTTTTTAACATGATCTTAAAATAAGTCTTTGATATATAATCTAATACAATATTATCCATATAATTTTATTATAATATTTAATATTATCTCTAAGAACTATACTTTTTAATTATCAAAAGATCCTACATTGTGGTACCAGTAATTTATTTTTACTTTTTAAGTAAAAAAAAAAGGGGGTGTCAGCTGATTTTGTTTTGGCTTCTGAAAAGAGGAATATTCAAACCAGCAAATATGCAATGTATTTGAAATAATAAAATATCAATGTTTCAACATTACAAATTTACTTCATTATTTTCTACTTATATCGTTCTTTTGTCTTTTCTAAATTCTTTGGTCTATATCTTTACTTACTAACATATAAAGCATATTTTTTTAAGATTATGCATCAATATCAAACAAAGTGAATAAAAAGGAAGCATTTCGTCAAGTAAAAATAAATAGGAAAAGCAAAAAAATACCACTCCAATTAACATGATTAAATAAAATGCTTTAAGAAAATATTTTTCATTAAAATATAGAGCTATAAATCTGTTTATAAAATTCATCTATTATGCCAACTTTTAAAAAAAAACAACTAAATTTTCATTCCAAATATGAATATTCGTTGCGCATTATTTTTCACCATTGAATAGTGAGTAACGCCTTTTTAGCAAACACTCAGAGACTGTATTGCATTTGTAGGCAAAAAACGCATATATAACCTGCCATGCAATTTTGAACAGCATATTGTCATAAATACAAGAATTGAGTGTCTAGATATCACATATTGCTATAAAGATCAGGATTTATAATTTTTTGTCAATTAAGTTCACAAACTATTAATATAAATGGCAAGGTCCATATTTTCTGGCATATAAAATGGTCAGTGAATAAAATATTGATCAATGTCTATATTTCCTTTGCTTTTATGATGTATTGTTTATTGCCATGTTTACAGCGTGGCCTCCAGAAAGATAAATTCATAATTATGTATTTTTGAAGCTTTTATTATTAGATTCGGGCGTCCTTTCTTTTTATCTAATACCACATATACTTTTTGTAATAAAGTATCATTTTATTAATTTTGAAACTCAAGTTTGGACTTAAGCAGACAGCTATAAAAACTGTATTAAAAAAAATAATAAAAAATAAAAAAAAGAAGAATTTAAATAATTTTTTAAGGATGTTAAGCATTTTGTCTACAGTAAAACGAATTTTAAAAAAAGGAAATGAAAAAGTAGAAATAGCATTCTTTTTTTAGTCACTTTAGCTTGAAAAATAAGAATCGTATTCTTTTATTTTTTCACATTGGCTCTAATTAGAGTTTTTGTGCTTTTTTAAAAGCTTTTCTTTTCAAGACAAAAAAGAAATCTTCATTCAGTTTCATCGAAAGCCAATAGATGTACAAAACAAGCAACGTAGTATCGGTACACCTGACCAGGTCGTACAATATACGTGTCACATCGGCGGTTACTGGATGACAGGTGGTGCCGTCTGTCGCTTGAGCAACCTTGTCACCAGTACGATATAAAAAAATGATAATAACCATTAAGTTGACACCCTCTGTAGCGAAAAGTAAGTGATGGGCGAGTATTTTATCGTAAGAAGGAAGTATTTAAACAAGTAATAAGCAACCAACAATAGAAAGAAGATCTCTCTGGACTATTGATGCGTTTATAGTTTCATAATCTTCATTGAATATTCATGAAAAAGTGGCAACTATAAATCATCTTAAAAAATGTATAAAAATACAGATGAATTACTCTTCCATAAAAGAATATCAAAAATATTGCTTACATGTAAGGGGTCGTATAACTATTTACAATTAAAATCTATTGTAACAAGGATATGTCCCTGCTTTGTAGGCAAATACGACATTCCATGCATACTTCTTAAAATCCACGTATCATATTAATCTTTTCACTTTTAATCCAATTATATTATAATAATTCAATTTACAAATTGAGTTCTTATGTATAATATGCATGCATGTTCACCCATTTTATTGTATCATTAATGTGTATTTAGTATAGTCTCACTTCTACCTGGCCTCGAGATGAGAGTAAGGGAGAGAATTACGACGGGTTACTTTCGTAATAATCAAAGTTTACTTTCTTTGCGAGTATAGTTAGATAGCACGAAATTGATCTGTACACAATTGCCACAAATCATGAACCGTATACTAGATAACATACTTTTAGATTTCTTTGTTTTTAGATTTTTTCGCAAAAATTGTAATATGCAGAGAAAAACCGATATACGGTATATCGTTTTTGTCTTA